TAAATTTCACATAAACAAATAATAAGTAAAAATATATCCCAAATGGTATTTTTTAAATCTAAAATTCAAATTTAACTGGGTGTCCTATATTTTTATCTGCTAAATCTGGCAACTCTAAAGTGATCCTTCTGCAAATTAGATAACTTGCTCCAAAGAATTGGGGGATTGATGCTATTCTTAATGTATATTTTCTGTGGTCATTTCTTTGCAATACATAGCAAAGCATTAGGAAATAGGGACAGAATGTAAGGAGAAAAAAAGATTAAACATTAGATGAATGTAAATGGAATAGTAAGGCTGTGAAATATTCAGGCTGTTAAAAGCGTGATATAAACAAGATTCCAGCAAATACCCAAAGTTTACCTTCAGCCTTTCTTTCAAAGGCCTTAAAAATGTATATTTTTATCTAACTTCTTGATTTGGCATTCATAGTCAAGCTCTCTCACTTATCTTCACTCTACATTCTTCTGGCTTTCAGTATTTTTTTCCAGAAAAACATTAGATAAAATAATTATAACCATAGAGTATCTAGTGTAGTTTATCGGTATTTTTTTGAGGAAAAAGATGGAAACATTTATACTTTTTTACTATTTTTTCATTAAATGTGCTCATGAGAGACTTAAAGAGAAGCTCTTGAGCAATGGGTATACCTAATATAAATATGAAATAAATACTATATGTTAATCAAGAACAACAGATATCTCAAATCACAAGATGTTTATTAGAGTTTTAAAGTAGTTCTTAATTAAATTTGAAAATAGAAAAGGCATGTGGGTGCAGAAAAGAGAAAGCTGTCCAAGTAAAGAAATCATGTGCTACACAAATAAATGAAAAAATAAAATAAACTAGTGTTAGACAAGGAGAGAATATTGGCTTCAAAATGCAACTGAACATATTGAAGCCTCAGTGAGATTCTCTGGAGTGGTACCTAACTGGGTGACTCCTTGTCTACTGGCCATGTTAATTGAGTGATCAAAGGGCTGACATCTGACCCAAGATGGGCTAAAACATTGCTCACCCTTTGGAACATTAAACTTGAACTGCAAGACATAGAGCAGTTGCTGGGGTTAAACCTGGTAACAGTAGCACATTAGAGAAAAGATCAAGGAATTTCTACAGACATTCTGCATTTAGGCAAGGGCATCCTGCATTTCCTCAGTTTTAGATTTTAGCTCTCTTAGCCTGTATGAAGTAGCTCAGTATTTTTCCAGCAGATGTCTTTGTGCTTAAGTTAGCTAGAACTGGCTTTTGGATTGCTTGCAAGCA